AAATGGAACAACGGAATGGAAAACTGAGATGTTCTTAGACATCTCTCTAGACCTAGTGACACTTGTCTTATACACAATGATACCAAGCTTGTGTTTTTTTGTTTTGTTTTGTTTTGTTTGTTTCGAGAGTCTTTTTTTTTACTATGGGGCATGTGTGCTCACCAGAAAGACAGAGTGACAGAGAGACAGAAAGCGAAAAATCACCCCCAAGGGGGAATGGCTACGCCCTAATCCCTTCTCCTCCATTCTCCTTTCGGGATCTTGGGCACGCACGCACACAGGCCCGGCGTGAGTTTAAGCCACCGGGTCTGGGACTCGAACCATGGTCGACTACATGGGAGTCCAGCGACACAGCCATTACGCTAACTGCTGGTCCCCCAAGCTTGTGTTCTAAGCCCAGTGCAGATAGGGTGGGTACAAATAATGGTATCTCGGTCTGAGGGTAAGGACTCAGTGAGGGGAGAGAAGTTCAAGGTTGACTTAGGCCATCAGAGAATGCAAAAGAGGGTGCTTCTGAAATATACAAGTCATCCTGGGCAGGTCACACCACAGGAGACATTTGTAAATCTACAAGCCTGCCACATGATTTAAAACAGAAATAGTCTCGGGCTAGCACATGGTGCAGAGGTTAAGGCACTGTATCCCACATCGCTTACTGTGTGGTTTAGGTTCTAGATCCAGCAGCATGAAAATCATGTGCCAGGCACATACGTGCACATGCACCAAAATTGCAGAAGAATGGATAATGAATAGCAGTACGGCCATCCCCAAGGGGTGGGGTGTGTGTGTGTGTGTGATTTCTTTTTTCCTCTGTCTGTCTGTCTCTGGTGAATGTACATATCCTATAGCAAAACTACTGGGCCATCAGAAAAGTCATGACTCATTTTTGCATTAGAAAAACACATCATGACATTTCTGGTGACCCAATAAAACTAAAACAAGACAAAATACCCAGAAATCTTCTCATGCTTAATGGAACTGATTTTCACCTCATGGTGCAGACCCCTTTGGACTGAACAATCAGTTGTCTGTAGTCAAGTCTACAGAAAATAGGACAGAACATTGTTTTTCAAATGGTTTACTGTTTTGCGCAGATCCTTATTCAAAGGACCCTTTAAACAGGTGACTCTCCTAGGCAGAGATGATGCTTGGTCTGAAAAGCAATGAAATAGGTCCAAAAAAGCATCATGAGTGGTGAATACTTGTGAAGTGGAACTCAACAAGTAGAGCTGTCCCACTGGTGCTCAAAACCCTTCTGTGGCTCCCCATTTCCTCAAATATACAAACTTCTTACCATGTCCTATAGGGCCCTTGAAACTTCCCCTATCATTATAGCTTTGGTTCCCCTTTCTCAACCCAAAGTGCTCTCTCTAGTTCTTCTTCTTCCCAGAACTCTAGTTCTGGAGCTCCAGGGCTTCCTAGATGTCTCCCTAAAGGTGTCTCCAGACCCCTGATATCTACCACTCCCAAACTGTCCTTATCATCTCTCCTAAACCTGTTTGATTACCAGCCTACTCTAAAAAGCTGGGTATGGTGGCATGCAACCTTAGGAGGCTAAGGCAAGATGACTGCAATGTAGCAAGACGATCTAAGAGAGAGAGAGAGAGAGAGAGAGAGAGAGAGAGAGAGAGAGAGAGAGAGAGAGAATATCTCCCTTGATGTCCCCTCATGGAGAAACCCAGTACTGATGAGGGAGGTGTGAGCCTGTGAAAGTACAGGAGCAGGGAAGGAGAGTAGAGTTACTTGTGTTTATGGAATCAGACACTGTTCTGGTTATACATTTAATTCTCACAACAGTCCTTTCAGAAATCCCACTTAACAGATAAGGGAACTAAAGACTTAGAGAGGTCAAGTCACAGATGCAAAGCCAGAAGATGGTGGAGCTAGGATTTAAACTCAAGCTGCCTCAGGATTCTAGGGACAGAAGCCTTAGGACAGCTGCCTCTCCTGCTGTGTATCATCTGTAGATCTGAAGTCACCCACCTGTGTTCGTGGACATCAGTTGAACATAGCAGTTACTCTGGCCTCTCAAAACACCAACAGGGGGACCAGCAGTTAGCGTAATGGCTATGTTGCTGAACTCCCACGTAGTCGACCGCAGTTCAAGTCCTGGACCCGGCGGCTTAAACTCACGCTGGGCGTGTGTGTGTGCGTGCCCAAGATCTGAAGAGGAGAATGGAAGAGAAGGGATTGCGGCGTGGCCATTCCCACTTGGGGGGTGATTTCTCACTTTCTATCTCTCTTTCTCTCTCTGTATTTCTGGGGAGCGCATGCGCCCTATAGCGAAAACCTCTCCAAACAAACAAACAAACACTAACAGGGCTGGCCCCAAGGCCTAGTAGTTAATGAAGCCAGATCCCATATGACTGACCACAGCTCAAATCCTGCCCCTGGTGGTTTAAAAAAATACTGGGGACATTTGTGTGTGCCTGAAATCTCAACAGGACAGAGAAATGGAAGAGAAGGGATTGCTGCATGATCATGCCCCATTGGGAGGTGTTTTCTCCCTTCCCCTCTCAGGTGAGTGTATACATGCCTCCTGGCAATTAAAAAAATATATATCACCAACACCTCTTGAATATTTGACAGGGAGATTTGAAATTTTCTTCAAATATAAAGGATATGTGAGTATAGCTTAAAGACGACTCTGGATCTCCTTCCAATGAGGCTGCCTCTTGCCAATCCATCCTAGGTAGAGAAGCTGTTGCTCAGATGGTAGCTTCATGTCACAATGGATTGCATTCCTCCTGTGCTCTGAATCCTCCTGTGGCCTTCACCTCACTCAGAGTAAAAGCTAGCTTTCTTCATGGCCCATGAGGCCCGACATGATCTGTCTCCACCCCTGTGACCTCATCTCCCAGCCCTATCCCGCCTCACTGGCCTCCCTGCTATTCCTGAAACATTCCAAGCACATGCCTACCTTAGGACTTTTACATTTGCTATCTGCTCTGACTAGAGTGCTCTCCCTCCAACCCCATAGCCACCTCACTCCCTCTTCTCCTTCCATTCTTTGTTCAAATGTTACCTTCTCAGAAAATCTTCCCTTACCACCCTATTTAAAACTACAACCTTGACTTATATTCCCCATCCCCATTCTGACACATTAGATAATCTACTTCACCTGTTTGTTCACTGTCTCTTACCTCCACTAGAACGTACACCCTAGATGGCCACAGATTTTTGGGTTTCATTCACTGATATATGCCCAATGCCACGTGCAGTGTTGGGCACAGAGTACCCACTTAAAAAAATAAGTGTTGAATGAAGAACTTGTATTTTCATTCCTATATTACAGATGCAATAACTGAGGCACAGAGTGGTTATGCCGTCTGCCCAAGATCATGCAACTAAGTACTAAGCACTAGAACCAAGATTGGAACCAGGGTGTTCTAGTCCCCAGGTTCATGTCACTAACCACTGTCTACACTGCCTCCCTAAGACAGGCTGAGTGAATAGGATTCCTACTTTTCCACCTGGAGATTCAGGACTGTTATGGTTTAACTGAAGTGTGAGGGGACTGTCTCATCTCATCTCTCTGCACCACAATTCTACTTCAGGGAGATCTGGGTCTAAGCTATGTAGTGTTGCCTCTCTGAGCCCTTGTCACCTCTCATAGTATTAGCTAAATATCCTCATTTTTTTTGGCATAGAGGATTAGTCAATCCAAAAAGATAAAGAGACAGGGATTAAGTATTTACAGAAGCAAAGTTTGTGCTGACTGATGGGCCATCCCCTCAGGTATGGTGCTACAGAAGAAGTGAGGGCAACATGGAGATCCTGGGGGGGCATGGCTGCTGTGGCAGAAGGCATGGTGACCCCAGGAGTGACCACATCTCAGGAATGATGAGGACAGCCAGGGAGAAGAAGGGAATGACCTTGAGAGAGTGATGAAGGTGCTGGATGAGGATGAGGGTGATATGGTTAATAAAAGTAGTAGCCAAAATTGCCATGTCAAGCTGAGTATGTCACAGAATACTCTGAATCTTCACACTCATCGCTGATGTAGGGGGTACCTGTGTGTGTTTAACAGGTTAGAAAGCTGGGATCAGAAAGGTGTGATAAGGTTGTCAAGGTTACCCAGAAGTTTAGAGGTGGAGCTAAGATTCTGGCACACCCCAGGTAATGGGGCTCTAGTAGCCTGTGAGGTGCCACTGAAGTGATGGAAACATGAAGGGAAGAAAAAGAGCTGTAAGGCTGGGTGGTTCCTTATGGGGAAAACAGCATGAGGCATGGATGGTGTTAGGTAGGAGCGATGAAGTTGGAGGTACAAAGATAGACACAGGGAAGCGTGAAAGCGATCTATGGAGGGAGGAAGTGACAGCAAGTTTGTGAAAGGTGACATGGAATATGCTGATAATTTAAGAGGTAAGATTTTATAAAGGAGAAATGGCAGCAAAAGAGGGGGTAAGTGTGACAGAAGACGATGACAACTTAAGGACGGAGACTGTGACATATGATATCAATGACAGCTTAAGAGGAACGAAAGAGAGTTAAGGGGTTGATAGTGACATAAAGGAAGTGATGGCGACAAAAGGGCTTTGATGACGATTTAAGTGGGATGCGACCTAAGGGAGGAATAGAAACATAAAGGGGCCGAGGACGACATAAGAGGAGGGATGCATTACAGACAAGAGGACAATAGGACGGCAGCCGCGCCCCAAATCGTACAGTACCTGCACTCCACGGCTCCCACTCGGGGACCCAGCCCCACACACTGTCTAGGCTGGACCCCCGCCTGACCGCCCCCACGTTTACGCAGGCGCACTCCAGCTAATCTGCAGGCCAGCGGGTGCCAAACATGCGCCTCTCTCATTGGCCACGGTTCTCCCCAGAAGCTCGAGGAGACAAGCGCTTGGTAGACGCTAGGAGTCACGTGACGGTTACGCCCTCACTCTCGGTGGTAGCAGCCCGGCAGGCTAGAGCGTCAACACGCGGGTCTGTCGACTTCCGGCAGCGAGAGAGGAGCTTCCGGGGCGGGCAGCCGGCCGGAGGGAGGAGCGTCTGACAGTTGGCGCCGCCAGGAGGGAGGGCGGGCGGCTCGAGTGGGCGCGGGCCGGGTGGGCCAGGTGAGACGCGGGCCGCGCGTGGTGGGACTGGGCGGCATGCGGTGGGGATGGGTGGCGTCCGGGGTTCTGGAGTCACAGTCCAGTCCCCACCGTGCGGCTCCGGACAATTGATTGAACTGAGTCTCACTTTCCTCCTCTGTAGAATGAGGGTCAGAATTGGACTGTAGCTGGACTGTAGCTCCCGCTTCATGGGTTGGAGTGAGAAGTCACCTAGTGCACGTCGAGGCCGCTAGCTGGGCGCCTGCACATAGTGCTCACTTCGTTACTATGCTATTAGTGTTGATGTTCGCGCTTGGCGTGAAAGACTTGAGCTTGTAGACTGACAGACTTGGGTTCAAGTCCTAGCTCAGCTGTGCCTGTGCCTTAACCTATCTCCCTGATCCTTATTTTCCTCATCTATACAACAAGCGATTAATAGTTCCGATAGCATAGGTTGTTGTGAGAATTTTGGTCAACTGTCCAGTAAAGCCTTTTTATTAATAGCATGGGGCCCGGGGCAGTAAGAACTACAGGTTGTGATTATCATTTTTTTTTTGTTTGTTTCTTGGAGAGATTTTTGCTATAGGCCTCGTGCACTTGCCAGAGAAATGGAGAGAGATGGAGAGACAGAAAGCTAGAAATCACTCTGCAGTGGGGATAACCATGGCACAATCCCTTCATTTTCTCAGAATTTTGGGCAGGCATGCACATGCGACCTGTGTGTTTCAAGCCACTGGGTCTGGGATTCGAACCATGGTTAACCATGTGGGAGTCCAGCACCTTAATCAGTATGCCACCTGCTGGCCCCATTGACTGTCATGTTAATGATAATGAGAGTCATTGGTATGACTGGGAATTTCAAGGAAGAAAAGGGAAGGAGAAAGCTCAGAGACAGCAGTAGGAAAAACTTAGAACTGGAATGGGAAAACCAAGATCTTGACACTACTTGGCCAATTTTGCTCAATCCTGTAGTATTGTATTTCTCTTTCTTTTAAAAAATGGTGACTTTTTCTCTAATGACTTCATTTGAAAAGGAAAATTTACATTGCTGTCGTAATGGAAAGCTAACATTGCTGGCCTTGAGAAGGACAACTTAACCTGAAACACAATGGAAACAGAATAGTCCATTAAATTGTGAAAGAACTGAAAGGGAGTAACTTGTACTACGTGATTCCATGTTGTCAGGTCCCACAGACCCCTGCAAGTTGTCTAATGTGCTATACCCAACTCACGCTTGATGTATGACTGCACAGAGTGAAGGAGAGGGTAAAGGAGATGGAGGAGAGGAGCTGGACCAGGAAGGAGGAGTAGGGCTAAGTGGGAGAGTAGTGTGGACCAGGGCAGTGCAGGCCAGTGACTGTCTTGCCCTTTTTCTAGCTTACTGAAATTTCTTTTTATTTAATGCATACTTGTATTGCACTTACCATCTACTGAAAATTGTTCTAAGGGCTTTGAGTTTATTAACTAATTTAATCTTTCTTACATCTTTAAGAATAGCTATTCCTGGGACCAGCAGTTGGCGTAATGACTATGTTGCTGGATTCCCATGTAGTTGACTTCCGTTTGAGTCCTGGACCCAGTGACTTAAACTCATGTTGGGTGCGTGTGCGTACGTGCCCAAGATCCCAAGAGGAGAATGGAGGAGAAGGAATTATGGCGTGGCCATCCTCTGTGTGTGTGTGTGTGTGTGTGTGTGTGTGTGTGTTTGTGTTTTCTATCTCTCTGTCTCTCTCTTTCTGTCTCTCTCTTACTTGCTGGCGAGTGCACGAACCCTATAACACACACACAAAAAAAAAAAAAAAAAGAAAAATGAATAGCTATTCCTATCATTTTACTTGTATAGTTGAGGGAAGCGAGATCCAGAAAGGTTAAGCTATTTGGCCACAGTCAGGATTAGGAAGTGGTAAAATTGGGTTTGGGTTGAGTCATTTTTTTTTCCCCCCCAGAGTCAGCCATGTGGGAATCCAGCACCTTAACCACCATGCTACCTGCTGGCCCTAGGGTCCAAGTATTCTAAAGGTTTAGTGCACAGAATCTGTTATATGGTAACTACTGGAGTTTTAGGAGCTGTCATTTATTTTTTTTTTAATAATTATTTATTTTATTTATTTATTCATTTATTTTTTAGTTTGAGCAGAGAGAGACAGAGGGTGAGAATGAGAGAGAGAGGAAGTGAGAAAGCAAGCCACCAGATTCAGGACTTGAACCCTGGTCGGCCATGTGGGAGGGTCCAGCGCCTTAACCACCATGCCACCTGCTGGTCCCCAGGAGCTATCATTTAAAAAATGACTATTATTATCATTTCCACTAGTCAGAAGGTCATTTCTGGAAATAGGCTTTTAAGATGGTGGAGAGGAGCCAGCAGGTGGCATAGTAGTTAAGGTCCTGGATTCCTACACAGCCAATCTCAGTTCAAGTCCTGGACCTGGTGGATTGAAAATCACACCATAAGGACCAGCAGATGGCATAAGGGTTATATCGCTGGACTCTCACATAGTCGACTGCAATTGGAGTTCCAGACCAAGTGGCTTAAAACTCATGCTGGGGGACCAGCAGTTAGCGTAATGGCTATGTCGCTGAACTCCCATATAACTTACTGCGGTTTGAGTCCCGGACCCGGTGGCTTAAACTCAAGCCTGGCGCGTGTGTGCGTGCCCAAGATCCTGAGAGGAGAAAGGAGGAGAAGGGATTGCGGTGTGGCCATCCCCCCTGGGGGGTGATTTCTCACTTTCTCTCTCTCTGTTGCTCTCTTTTACTGCCCCCTATAACAAAAACCCCCCCCCCCCCCCCAAAAAAAAAAAACCACCAAAACAAAAAACTCATGCTGGGTGTGTGCACGTGTGTGCCCAAGATCCCGAGAGGAGAATGGAAGAGAAGGAATTATAGTATGGTCATCTGCCCCCCTCCTTGGGGGGGGGTGATTTCTCACTTTTTGTCTCTGTCTCTTGGGTGAATGCATATGGCCTATAGCAAAACTCTCTAAAACAAAAACAAAACACACCACACAAAAAGAAAATCATAGCATGTGTGCCCAAAATCCCAGGAAGAGAATGGAGGAGAAGGGATTGTGTTAGTCATCCCCCTGGGGGGTGATTTACTTTTCCTCTCACTGTCTGTTTCTGCCTCTCTCTGATGAGCACATGCTTCCTTTGGCAAAAATCTAAAAAAAAAAAAAAAAAAAAAGATGGTAGAGAGAGGAAATTGAGCCCAGCAGGGAACTTGAAGCCATAGTGGGAGAATACTCATACTTAAAGGATTCTGGGATTCTAGTAAGCATTAACTGGGCCCTTGCAAAGACAGACCGCAGTGCCTGGCTCTTAGTAATGACTAAGTCAGCATTAACTGTAGCCATTGGACTGCCTTGGGTTCAAGTTCTGGCCCTGCTGTTACTTGCTATGTCACCTTGGATCTGCCACTGTTATCTGTAACCTGGGACTCATCTTTTTTTTAAAAAGATTTTTGCCATAGGACGTGCACTTGCCAGAGAGAAGAGAAGAAAGAGAGAAAGAGAAATTACCTTCCAGGGGGATGGCCACATCGCAACCCCTCTCCATTCTCCTCCTGGGATTTTGAGCATGTGTGCTCATATACCCAGCATGATTTTTAGGCTGCCAGGTCTGGGACTTGAACCATGGTCAGACATGTGTGAGTCCAGTGCATTAACCATTATGCCACCTGCTGGCCCATGGAACTCATTTTTATTTTTTCCTCTAGAGTGGCTGTGAGGAGTTACTGAGATGTGTGTAAACTTAGTTCTGGCATGGAGTAGGCACTACCCAGGGGCTAGAAAATGGGCAGTAGAATGAGGGAGAACTTGTTTTTGAGTCCTAGTTAGGTCAGTTGCTAGATGTGGCATTTGACAAGTGAATGTGCCTTGATGAGTTAGTTTTTTCATTGATTAGTAATAGTCTTCACTCCAGAAGCTGTTGCAAGGCAGCGGCATGATGGTTTGCTCTAGTCCTAGGGCTTAGTTAGTGCTTGGTGTATGAGATGTTCTGACTTACTGAGGACTCTCCTTGGCTTACTATTTGAAAGATGCCTATTGTGTTGTCTTTGTCCAGTGGTAAATCCAGGAGGGAAAGTGGATCTGAGAGTGTCGGGTGCAGGGTGGAGTAATGTCTGTGGTCATGTTCAGCAAGTAGAGATTCAGCAGAAGCCAAAGGAGGGAAAATGAACCCTAGCTGGGATAGAGGACTGTCAAATCTGGGGGCATAGAGAAAGGTTCACAAATAAGGTGGCAGCTACACAGAGGGAAGGAGAACTCGCCAGGACAGGAAGAGAGAGGCCTGTATAGAAACTCTTCCAGTTCTTTCAGTAATCCTTTAAGTTTAGTAATATTTGCACTGTCCCAATTCACAGATGGGGACATCAAGGCCCGACTGAGGGAGTAACTTGCCAAGGCCACACAGGTAGTAAGTAATAGAGCCAGACTGGAACCTTGCAGTTGGCTTCTAGAGTCCTTATTCTTTGTTTTTTTGGAGAGGATTTTGCTATACGGCGTGTACACTTGTCAGAAAGACAGACAGAGAGAGAGAGACAGACAGACAGACAGAAAGCGAGAAATCACCCCCTGGGGGGATGGCCACACCGCAATCCCTTCGCCTCCATTCTCCTCTTGGGATCTTGGGCACGCACGCACATGCGCCTGGTGTGACTTTAAGCCACTGGGTCTGGGACTCAAACTGCAGTTGACTACATGGGAGTCCAGTGACGCAGCCATTATGCCATCTGCTGGTCCCAGAGTTAACCACATTGCTATACCATCAAAATGGAGTAGGAAGTGGGATGACCAACAGAAAGGTGATGGGAAAGAGGAGGGGCAAAGGAGAAGGCTCTGCAATGGTGCTGGGTAGAAGTGAGCAGAGTGAAGGTGGAGGGCAAAGGATATGAAGGAGAGCCCCTGACCCAGGAAGAGGAGGGGCAAGTGGGAAGGAGTGCTTCTCTGGGGTTCCTCAAGAGCTGGTGTCCTGCTGCTTTGACCTGTTTCCTACTCTCTTGTTTGTTCCCTCTACTCTAGCCATGTTGGCTCATTGCTGTCCCCCAAATGTGCCAGATGTGCCCCTGGCTTAGGGCACCGAACCTTCTGTATCTTCTCCTAAAGCACTCTTTCTTTTTTTTTTTTTTTGGAGAGATTTTCACTGTAGGGCGCGTGCGCTCGCCAGACAGACAGAGAGAGACATAGAGACAGAAAGCGAGAAATCACCCTCCAGGGGGGATGGTCACGCCGCAATCCCTTCTCCTCCATTCTCCTCTCGGGATCTTGGGCACGCACGCACACACGCCTGGCGTGAGTTTTAAGCCACCGGGTCCGGGACGTGAACCGCGGTCGACTACGTGGGAGTCCAGCGACATAGCCATTACGCTAACTGCTGGTTCCCAAGCACTCTTTCTATGTGAAACCACACGGCCCGCTCCTTTATTTCTTTGAGTCTCTCTCTTTTTAAAAAATAATTATTAAAAAAATTATTTAGTTTTATTTATTATTATTATTTAATTTGCTATAGGGCATGTGAGAGAGAGGGTAGAGAGAGAGGGTGAGAAAGCAAGCCACTAGGTCTGGGACTTGAACTGCAGTTGGCCATGTGGGAGTCCAGTGCCTTAACCACCATGCCACCTACTGACATGGTGGTTAAGCCTTCGCATCTCTGAAGTGTCGCTTTATGGCTTCCTTGATTACCCTACTGAAAATTCCAACTCCCTTCCCAGGCCCTCTGTGTTTTCACCATGACACTAACGGCTTTCAAACAACTCATATTGTTTACCGTTTTGCTTGTTTACTTTCCATGTCTGTCTCTTCCAGCTACTGGACGCTAAGCTCCATTTTGTTTACCTCAGAATCTCTAAGTGCCTCACACAGAGTAGCTCCTCCATAAATAGTTTTTATCCTATTTTATTTTATAATTTCTCATTTATACTTAATTGTTGTACATCTTTGTGGGGCACAACATGGGTATTCAAAGATGCAGGCAGTGTGCAACACTCTAATCAAGGCTAATACCATATTCATCATTTCCAACAACACTACTGTATACACACACACGCACATGTATATATGATTGACGATGTCTGTTTTTTGCACTGTTGTGGTATGCCATTTCATAACCCATTTATCCCACATAAATAGTAATAGTTTTGAATGAGTGAATAAATTGGTATTTATGGTTAATGTCTTGCTTGGCCATCGGGTGTCTTTTCTCTCCCATTCCTATTCCGGCTGACCTTTTGAGGTTTATGGTAATGGAGCTGTGGACATTTGCTGTCCTTGGGCCTTGTCCCAGGCAGAAATGATAGTTGTGGCAGCTCTGTCCCAGGCTGACTTCCTGCCAGCTGCTCCAGGCTATTCCTGGGTGATGAGCCCCCAGCCCAGGAATGCTTCTCTGGCAGGCAGACAGACAGGCACCAGGAGAGGGACATACACTCAGCCGGCAGAGATTCATGGGCCCTCTCCTATTTTCTCTTCTAGGCTCCAGGGAGCAGCATCAGGGCCAGAGGGACAATGGTCTCGGTGACTATGGGTGAGTCTCTGGCCTTTTCCCTGGAATCCCTGTCCCCACTTCCCTTTTAGAGGTATGGTTTTGGGGAGGAAAAGGAGGGTGAGGAAAGACGGGCCTGATCATTGGCAGGAACAGCTGTAGCGTGTGTTGGGGCGGGGCTGTGGCCTGCTCTAGGCCTACCAGCCTTCTTGCTCTACCTCAGCCTCCTGACTGGGTAGTCTAGCCATGAAAAACTTGGGTTATGGGCCAACTCTGTAGCCTGGTAGTTAAGGGGGCTAGATCCCACGTGGCCAACCATGGTTCGACTCCTGGCCCTCTGACCACTTGGAAAACATGCCAGGATAGAGGAATAGAGAAAGGATTGTAGTATGGCCATGCCATCCTGAGGGGTGCTTTCTCCCTCTCCCTCTCTGTGTATCTTTCTATCTTTCTCTGGTGAACACATGTGTCCTCTGTCAATTAAAAAAAAAAAAGAACTGAGATTCCAGCATGGGTGACTGTGGTTCGAGTCCTGGACCCAGCAGCCTGAAACTTATGCTGGGTGTGTGTGCGTGTGTGCCAAAATCCCAAGGAAAATGGAGGAGAAGGGATTGTGGTGCTTTTTTCTGTCTCTTTGTCTCTCTGGTGAGCGCATGCACCCTATAGTAACAATTTGTCTCTAAAAATAAATAAATAGATTAAAGAACTTGGATTATGAAGTGTGGCAGATGTTCCACATAGCCTCTCAGAGCCTTGGTTTTCCCACCTGTGAAATGGAGATAACAATATTTTCCACATTTTGAGATTAAGGGGATTATTGCATATAAAATATTGAGCATAGTTCTCAACAAATGTTAACTGTTGTTACCATCACAAGTCTTATCACCATATTCTCTCTCTTTCTTTTTAGAGAGAATTTTTTGTTATAGGGCATGTGTGCTTCTGGAGAGACAGAGAGAGAAAAAACCGAGAAATCACCCCTGGGGGGCGATGGCCATGCCACAGTCCCTTCTCATCCATTCTCCTTTCAGTATTTTGGGCATGTACACGTGCCTGGTGTGAGGTTTTTTTTTTTTTTTTTTTTTTTTTTTTTTAGAGGTTTTTCACTATAGGGCGCGTGCGTTCGCCAGACAGACAGAGAAAGACAGAGAGACAAAAAGCGAGAAATCACCCCCCGGGGGGATGGTCACGCCGCTGCAAGCCCTTCTCCTCCATTCTCCTCTCAGGATCTTGGGCACGCACGCACACGCGCCCGGCGTGAGTTTCAAGCCACCGGGTCCAGGACGCGAACCGCAGTCGACTACGTGGGAGTCCAGCGACATAGCCATTACGCTAACTGCTGGTTCACAGAAAATCGTGCGCGTTGAGAGAGACAGAGAGAGAGAGAGAGATGGACTTGATGCCGCAATCCTCCAGCCTCCATAGATTTTTGCCATAGGGTGGGCACCACCACGTCCCCTGGTGTGAGTTTTAAGCCACTGGATCTGGGACTCGAACCGTGGTTGACTATGTGGGAGTCCAGGGATGTAACCATGATACCTTCTGTTGGTCCCACCATATTCTCTTTAAACTCTATTTTGGGATTGTCAAAGCACAGAAATTAGTTGGTAACTTCGAGAAATTTTGAGATTTGGGGCCAGCAGGTGGCGTGGTGGTGAAGGCTGACTGCAGTTTGAATCCCACACCTGGTGACTTGCTTTCTCTCTTTCACTCTGTCGCTTTCTGTTCAAATTAAAATAAATGAATTAATTAGTTAGGTTGACTAAAATAATTTTTTATTTTTTGGAGAGGTTTTTGCTATAGGGCGCGTGCACTCACCAGACAGACAGAGAGAGACAGAGAGACAGAAAGCGAGAAATCATCCCCCAGGGGGGATGGCCACACCGCAATCCCTTCTCCTCCAGTCTCCTCTTGGGATCTTGGGCACGCATGCACACATGCCCGGCGTGAGTTTTAAGCCACCGGGTCCGGGACACGAACCGCGGTCGACTACGTGGGAGTCCAGCGACATAGCCATTACGCTAACTGCTGGTCCCAAAATAATTCTTAAAAAAAAGAAAATTTGAGACTTAATGTACATACAGAAAAATACATGAAACATATTTGTCTATGTATTTTTAAGAATTATTATTTAATTTTATTTGTTAATATTAGTTTTTAATTTGACCAGAGAGAGACAGAGAGAGAGAAAGGGGAAGTGAGAAAGCAAGCCACCAGGTCTGGGACTTGAACTGTAGTTGGCTATGTGGGAGTCCAGAGCCTTTAACCAACATGCCGCCTGCCAACCCCTATTTCTGTGGTTTTAAGAGCAATTGAAAAGCAAACATCTGGGGGGACCAGCAGGTGATGTGGTGGTTAAGGTGCTGGACACTCCCACATGGCTGACCATGGTTCCAGTCCTGGACTTGGCAGCTTGCTTTCTCACTCTTTCTCTCTGTCTCTCTCTGGTCAAGTTAAAATAAATGAATGAATGAATAAAATTAAATAAATAATTATTAAAAAAAAAAAGCAAACATTTGGGGACCAGCATATGGTGTGGTAGTTATGTCGCTCATACTACTCCCACATAGTTGACCATGGTTTAAGTTCTGGATCTAGTGGCTTAAAACTCAGGCCAGGTGCCTAAGATCCCAAGAAGAGAGTGGAGGAGAAGGGATTGCGCATGACCATCCCCCCTGGGAGGTGATTTCTTGCTTTCTGTCTCTATCTCTCTCTGTCTCTCTGGCAAGCATATATGCGCAAAGTATCTGTCTCTTAAAAAAAAAAAAAAAACATAGGACCAGCAGTTGGTGTAATGGTTATATCACGCGACTCCCATGTAGTTGACTGCAGTTTGAGTCCTGGACCCGGTGGCTTAAACTCATGCTGGGCATGTGTGTGTGTGTGTGTGTGTGTGTGTGCCCAAGATCCTGAGAGGAGAATGGAGGAGAAGGGATTGCGGCGTGGCCATCCCCTCTGGGGTGTGTGTGTGTGTGATTTCTCGCTTTCTGTCTCTCTATCTCTCTCTGTCTTTCTGGCAAGTGTATGCGCCCTCTAGCAAAATCCTCTCCAAAAAAAAATAGTAATTTGCTATAGGGCATGTGTTCTGACCTAGAGACAGAGACAGAGAAAGTCAAAGTGAAAAAGCGAGAAAGCAAGCTGCCTAGTCTTGGATTCGATCACAGTCGGCCATGTGGGAGTCTAGCTCCTTAACCACTATGCCATCTGTTGGCTCCTCTGTATATATATTTTTAATTGCCAGGGTGTGTGTATTCTTGTCACAGAAAGACAGAGATTGGGGAGAAAGCATCCCCCAATGGGGTCTGGTCACTTCTCCATCTCTCCTCTATCTTTCAATCCTATTGGGATTTTAGACATGTACACATGCACATGTGTCCAGTTTGCTTTTTAAGCCACCTGAGCCAAAATTCAAGCTGCCATGTGGGATCTGATTTTCTTCACAACTAGGCTAAAAGACTGGCCCTGAGTTGGAGTTAGTATAATCAAGCTGCTATGAGTCTTCATGTATGTGTCTCCTGGTGTATGCAGTACGGCATATGACATTGACCTCAAAGCATACATTATAGCACAACTTAACATTTCTGCGGTGGGAGTATGTCTTACAGCCATGATTTATTTTTTTATTTTTGGAGAGGTTTTTGTTATAGGGTGTGTGCGCTCTCCAGAAAGACAGAGAGAGACAGAGAGACAGAAAGTGAGAAATCACCCCCCCACGGGGAATGGCCATGCTGCAATCTCTTCTCCTCTATTCTCCTCTTGGGATCTTGGGCACGCACGCATATACACCCGACATGAGTTTAAGCCACTGGGTCCAGGACCTGAACCGCGGTCGACTACATGGTAATCCAGTGACATAGCCATTACGCCATCTGCCGGTCCCCACCATGGTTTATGACAGTTAGTTGGTCATGTGTGTTTTCCTTCTTAGTAACACCTGAAGTGGCGATGTGTGTCAGATGTGAGGACTTTCACAGTTCCTTGGACACTGGATTTCAGTAATCTCTCAGGCAGAAAACTACCCCTGACCTAGGTGGTGCCTTTTCTCCTCACAGGAACAGTTTAATTGACATATACAATACAGTTTACCTGTGCCCAAGATCCTATGTAGGTCAATAGTTTCCTTGTTCTCTATTCACCATCACTGTAGTCAATTTCATATCATTTTCGTCACTTTCCACGAAACCCCACACCCATTAACAGTCACGTCTCCGCTCCCCCTTTAACTCCTAGCCACCACTGATTTACTTTCTATCTTTAGATTTTCCTGTTCTGAGCATCTACGTAACCATTATGTGGTGCTATTTGATACTTAGACAAAGGTGCTGACTTCAGGTGGATAGTGCCTGTGCAAAAATAGGAAGGCTCTCCTTTCCTCTGGGCTAGTGGAGGGACCCTGAACATAATAAACTTTCCACCTGCCCTCACCTGAGGGCTCAGGCCAGCCAGTGTCCTGGGAGTGGGCCTGGGACCACCCTGCATGGGCCTCCTTGGGAAAGGCATGGCCCACAAGCCTGCACTAGATTCCTGTATTGCCACCTATGCAGTGTCTGAGCCAACTATCTCTCTTTCCAAGTTTTGGGCCTAAGATGTCTTAAAAACAAAATGGGTGAAGTAATAAAAAAAATTCCTTATCTGGCATAGCATGGGTCATTAAAGGTATTGTAGTATACCAATAGAAAGAAATAAAATGACCAGTTAAGCAGTAGGTTGCCATCAATTATGAGGAAGGTCCTAGTTTCAGAAATGTTAAAATGTGGAGAAAAACAGTCTACTTGGAATCAGTGATCTTACCTAGACATGGCCTGCTAGGTCCGGGTCAGTTTGAGAATCACACCCAAGAAACCCAGAAGTTTAGGAATAATAAGGCTTCAGAAGTGGAGTCTGCCTGGGTGTGGCCTGAGCTCCAAGTTTGCTGGTGGTGCTAATGCTCGTGGTAATTACCATCAATAACAGTAATGAGAGCTGACACGAGTGAAGATGTCCTCTGGGCCAGGCACCACTTAAAGCCCTTTATGTACCCTTTCTTGTTGAATTTGCACAGTAGCTCTGGTGCTGTCAGCACCAGAGGGCCAGCTCAGGAGGACAGGGACTTGCTCCTGTGCCTCGTCATGTTCCTGGTACCTAAAACAGGAGCTAATCTGGGCAAAATACTCAGAAGATACTTGCGAGATGTATTATCCCAAATTTATAGATGAAGACTCCGAGGCATTGAGAGTTACTTCCAAATCAGGTACTGTCCAAGTATGTGTAATAATTCCTTTGTGTCACAGGTCCAGGGTAGGCAGAGCCATGAGAAGAAGGGCTACAGTTGAGGTGGTGAAGCATTTGGGAGCTCTGTTCCTGTTAGCACCACGGCCTGGGCTGAGTTGCTCGACCTTTCCCTGCCTCAGTTTCCTCATTGACAATTCAAAAGAGTCTTAATACTGCTGAACTCATGAGGTTGTTGGGAGGGCTCAGTTCCATTGTGTGCATGCTGAGCCCTCAGCGCCTGGTGTGTGATGAACATTTAATCTGGGAATCTCTGCTATTGTGGTTTTGCTGCTGCAATTCTCCAGAGAGAGTGATGTAAGTAATGAGCCCCATCTGCCTCACAGCTACTTCTGAGTGGATCCAGTTCTTTAAGGAAGCTGGCATACCTCCGGGACCTGCTGTCAATTACGCTGTCATGTTTGTGGACAATAGGTGAGGTGGCTGGGATGAACCTTGGGGAAGGTGAGGTGGGGCACTGGCTGACCCACTGGGAGCCTCACCTCCAACCTCTCTTTGCAGGATCCAGAAGAGCATGCTGTTGGATCTCAACAAGGAAATCATGAATGAGCTGGGTGTGACTGTGGTGGGTGACATCATTGCCATTCTTAAGCACGCCAAAGTTGTGCACCGCCAGGTGGGTGCTCTGCCAGCCCCTCTGTCCCTGAGGGTAGCAAGGGAGCAGAGGGACAATTGCAGAGCCATCAGGAGCCCCAGTACCAAAGGCAGGGTGACTTAGATGCTAGAACTGGTTCAGTCATTTGTTGTGTGACATTGGGCACGTTGCCTAACCTCTTTGAGCTTTATTTCCTATCTAAAAAGTAGAGAGGTAAATCTATCTTGACACATGGTTGTGAGTACTGAATTAAGCTATAGAAAGCCCTAGAGAGGCATAAACTCTCTGTGGTAGGACCTCAGTAAAGGCCCTCTATAATTATTATTGCTCATTCTCATCTTCTTCATGATAATTATCACTGCTTTGACCTTCCCTGTCCCTAAGACAGGGACCTGGATGATGACTTAACCCAGATGACTGACAGTTCCTTTCTTGGTCACTCCATTTATAGTGACCTACCTTCCTGGATCTCTCTGAACAGACTTCATTCATACCCTGCTGTATAGGGTGAGTGTGGTCATCTGTTAAGTGGCTCATGAGGCCCTAAGCACCGACCTGGAGTATAGTGCTCATGAATGTCATAGCTGACATGTAACTAGCACTTGCTATGGCCTACCAGGCGCTGTCTGCATCTCTTTCTCTTTTTATTAAAGTTTGTTACAGGCTGTGTGTGCTTGCCAGTGAGAGAGAGCGAGAGACAGGAGGGAAGGAGAGAGAAAGCACCCCCCAGAGGGTGTGGCCATGCCACAATCCTTTCTCCTCCATTCTCTCAGGACTTTTGGGCATGTATGCACACACACCTGGCATGTTTTTCAAGCTGCTGGGTCTGGTGTTTGAACTATGCAGTCAGCCATGTTGGAGTCCAGCCACCTTAACCTCTACACTGCCTGCATTTTTTTTTTTTTTTTTGAGATTTTTTGTTTTGTTATGTTTTTGTAGAGGTTTTTTCCTTAGGGCACTAGGGAGAGAGAAAGAGACAGAAACAGTGAGAGGGGGAACCAGCAGTTAGTGTAATGGCTATGTCGCTGGACTCCCACGTAGTTGACTGCGGTTCGCATCCCGGACCCGGTGGCTTAAAACTCACGCCGGGCGCGTGTGCGTGCATGCCCAAGATCCCCAGAGAGAAAGGATTGCGGTGTGACCATCCCCCCGGGGGGTGGTTTCTCGCTTTCTGTCTCTATGTCTCTCTCAGTCTGTCTGGCGAGCGCACGCGCCCTATAGCGAAAAACCTCTCAAAAAAAAAAAAAGAAAAAAAAAGAAAAAAGAAACAGTGAGAGGGAGAGTGAGAAATCATCCCTCGGGGAATGGCCACAGCACAATCCCTTCTCCTCCATTCTCCTCCCTGGATCTTATGCACGCATGTGCCCAGCGTGAGTTTCAAGCCACCAGGTGCAGGACTCAAACTGCAGTTGGCCGTGTGGGAATCCAGCGATATAACCACTACACCATCTGTTGGCCCCTCTCTGTATCCTTGTGTCTGTATGTACTTGCTGGCTCCTTGCTGTACATGCCTAAGAAGGAAACTTGCTTCAGAGCTATGTTCTTGAGCACTCCACCTTCCCAAAAATGGCTGTTGTGGTTCTTCTTAGCCATTTTCAGTAGCTTCCTCCATCTCAGGGACAGGCCTTCATCTCTCTGTCATCTAACACTCCCATGGTGAGCACTTCTGCAAGCCCAGGCACATCATCTCAGCTGTTGTGGAGAAGGTCACTGAACAAATCATTGTTTTTTTCTTCACAGTTTTAAACTTGGGAATGATTTTAGATTTATACAAAGGTTCCAACAAAAATATGGAAAGTTTCCCTATCCCCCTCACCTAGCTTCCCTTGATGTTAACATTTTAATATAGACATTAATTATCTTTGTCAAAACTAAGAAATTAGCACTCAAACATTACTATTAACTACTGACTGTTTGGGTTTCATCAGTTTTTCCACCTAGATCTAATCCAGGATATCACACTGCATTTACTTAGCTTGTCTCCTTGGTCTTTTTTGATATATGACAGTTTCATAATCTTTCCTCTATTTTGACGATCTTGATAGTTCGAAGAGTACTGGTTAGATAGTTTTTAGATGTCAGTATGGATATGTCCGATGCTTTTTTTCTGGTTAGGAGCAGGGATTTTTTTTGTTTTTATTTATTTATTTATTTTTTGGAGAGGTTTTTGCTATAGGGCGCATGCACTTGCCAGAAATGCAGAGAGAGACAGAGAGACAGAAAGCAAGAAATCACCCCCTGAGGGGATGGTCACGCTGCAATCCCTTCTCCTCCATTCTCCTCTTGGGATCCTGGACATGCATGCACACGCACCTGGCGTGAGTTTAAGCCACTGGGTCCGGGACTGAAACTGCAATCGACTACATGGGAGTCTAGCAACATAAATGTTACGCTAACTGCTGGTCTTCCCAGAAGCAGTTATTTTAAAGTCTTCTCCAACAGGTAGGTTCTGAAGTTCCAGTATGGCTGGGGTCTCTGGGCTCCAGATTCTGCTGCGATAACCCAGAGACCTGTTTTTTTACAGGACATGTGCAAAGCTGCCACTGAATTGGTGCCCTGCAGTCCCAGCCCCCTCCCAGGCGAGATTCGCCGTGGCACTTCTAGCGGTGAGTCCATCTGTTCAGTCCTCTTTACCTTCATTTTTTAAAAAGTTTATTTCTTTATTTCATGAAGTAATGAGACAGAAGTCCCCCGGACAGTATCTTGTCACCCTATAGTTGCCTTCCCCAGACCCTCAGCTCTTCAGAATTTTGGGCACATTTATGCATACTTGTGTGTTTTCAGGCCAACCTTGAATCTGAACCTGTGGCTAACCATGTCATTCCAGCACTTGGTCCCAGGCAGTATGGACTGTACCACCTAGGCTACCCTTTCATGTTTTTTTCCCAATCAGTATGAAGCCTTATTTTTTGAATTAGTATCTAAATTGCTGGGATTACAGGCATGAGCCACTACATTCAGCATTTAGGTTGGCCTAGGAATTGATCGTGGGCCTTCCATGTGGTTCCAGTCTGTGGAAGCATAGCATCCTAGCAAGATGAGCTATTGTGGCTCGGCCCGTGACCTGTTTTAAGCAATTCATTTCCCTCTGTGTACAGTACAAGAAACTGGGCTCTCTCAACTGCTTGCCTTTATAGCAGAAAATCCTGATTGTACTGCATTCTGCCAGGTAAAGAATGTTGAGTGAGTGCTCTCATGGTATAGATTCTACATGCCACTCAGTTTGCAATTGCTACTTGTATAAAGCCACACCATCTAGCTTAAGACACGCCTGAAAAAATGTCTTAGGAAAATGGATGAAGGGCATATACCAATTTACTAACAAGAGAAGTGAGCCGAACTGAAACCAAGCATTTTTCCCAGGGGTAGGGGACTCGGACAGGAAGTACCAGTCCCACGACTTACTAACAGTGCTCTAATTCCTGAGCTGGGTGGTAGGTACATGGGGGTTTACTTTTTAAAAATAGTCTATATAGGATTAATATAGTTTTCTATATTATTTTTATTAAAAAATTGTCATTTTTATTAAAAATACATAACAGGGGCCAGCTGGTGGTGTGGTGGTTAAGGATCCAACATGGCCAGTTGATGTGGTTCAAATCTTGAACTTAACAGCTTGAAAAACATGCTGAGTATATGTGCATGCCCCAAATCCTGAAAGGTAGGAGAAATGGAGAAGGGATTATGATGTAACCATACCCCATAGGGGTGCTTTCTCACTTTCCCTTTCTCTTTCTCTGGCAAGTACACGGCTCTGGCAAATTACAAAAACACAAATAAGAGGAAATTATAATAAGGTGTGAGGGTCCTTAGAGGGGACTTTAGGGGGTTTTGAGAGAGAACACCTTACAGGAAAACAGAAGACATTTTTGGAGCATAGGAATAACAGAATACAAAAATCTAAAAGCCAGTTGGTAGGAAGAAGGTTGGGGTGAGACTACTAGGACTGGCCAGCTAGCAGTGGAAGAATGAAAATTCCTTCCTTGCCTCCTCTGCAGGTGTTCCCCAAGAACTGCTGGAACTCATGCCCTAAAGCTGGCTGCAATAGCATCCTGAGACAAGACCCACTTCTTCCTTCATTTCACCCTCTAGTCAGCATACTGTAGTTCCCCCCTGCACAACCTGGGGCTTTCCTCCTCCCACTCCATGGAAGACAGGGCTGCCAGAGACTGCCCAGCCATCCCCAGAGGGAGGTCACCTCTTTTACTGCCCCAGAAAACAAGAGCCACACCCACACAGTTCAAAGGCCCAGCTGAGGAACTCCCCTCCCTGAGTCTCAGCTTTCCTCATCTATAAAACTGGTTCACAGTAGATCCACCCTGTAGGAGTATTGGGGAGTTTTGTTGAGAGTGTTCATGTTTTCAGTAGACGTTGACTGAGGACCTGTGAAGGGCCAGAGGCTGTTTTAGGCGTGGGGGTTCAGCTGTAACAGACATGCCTGCTGTGGAGCTTGCCTTCTTGTGGGGGTTCCCTTAGGTACACTGAAATAGAATTCAACATTAAGCAGCAGTGAGGGCTATGGTGAAGAAATGTAGTGTAGGTAAGGGTTGTAGAGGTTTTTTTTTTTCTTTATTTTATTTTTTTTCATGAGCCAATTTTATCTCTTCATTTCTTGCATTTGAAGTACTCTTCAATGACATCCTTGGCCTGAGATTCCTTGCCATAGTCCTTAACTACTCCACAGCTGCAACCAACCACTTTACGGGGTTTTCCCTCTCTGTCAATTTTACAGAGGCCTACCCATTCTCCTAGTTTCTTGTTGTCATCAACTTTAATCAGGTTGATTTGGTGTCCGGCACAAAGGACCTCCACCAACTTGACATACATAGGTTCATCACAGTTGGATGCAAGCACACACAGGTGGGCTTGGTGCTTGTCTAAGGCTTTGGTGGCTTCGCGAATTCCACGTGCTAGGCTGTTGTGGATGAGGGCGGTCTTCAGAACCTCTTGTAAAGCAGTATTAATGCCCATTACACCTCCAGCAGCAATGCCTTCCTCGGCCATGGCGGTGGATTACGGGTGGAGCCGAATCTTGAATGTACCTGAGCCTCTGCCTCTGCGCGACTCGGCGGTGGCAGGGGAAGAGCTTTATTTTAATCTTTTTAAATTTAGGGCATGA